ACATCGATTTTGTTTTTCGTTCGGTGGGCTGATGCCTTCAGTGTAGCTTTTGCCTCTTCCGACATAGAAATCATCTGAATCTTCTTTCTACCTCTCTTTCTTTTCACACCACGCATAATGTAATGATAAAAATTAGGAAAAAACGCTGAGGATATATAATGTTTGGTTTGCTAGCGAGCGAGAACTGATTTGAGAATAATTGCACATGAATGCGTGAATTGAATGAACTATGACCCGTACAATCTCGATTTGCATATTGTCAATCAAAGGTCTTGTTATTTGGTTACTCATGCAAATTAGGCAATTGGACATAAACATTGCCACGTGTGAGTGTTTTTTATTTTCAACCAGAAAATAAACAGCAATTTTAACGGTGTTCCAATAAGAATTCATTGGTCAAATTTTCACAGAATGTTCTTTAGATAAAAATCTATATAAAAAACGAAAAAAACTATTTTTGATTGAAATTCACAAATAAACTGCATCTCTACCTTAATTAAGGATTACAACACCATACAAATGATATTAATCACAACATCTATGTTCAAACTCGGATCTCACGCAAATGGGGATGTAACAGACACACTGCCAATTAACAGATAACATATATTTTACAATTTAATACAATGATGTTCATTAATTAAGCAATAAAAAAAAGAATAATAATACTAAATGGCGACGTCGTCATCATTGTTCAACATTTGTACTGAAAAACATACGCGTGCATTATTGTAGTGGTGACTCCTACCAATCACAAATGATGGTTCAATCGCAAGTTTTAACGTCACCTCACAAAGATACAATGTATGAGTGCGACACCGGAATCCACTCCTCCCAAAACAGTCACGGGTCGTTCTAATGCCAAAATAACGATTGTTATGTTTCAAGAACGCTTTCCGTTGATTATGTGTTGCTGTCGACACTGAAAACCTTGTTTAAACGATATCGTTTTAATAATGGCCATTGAATAAAGTTTTTAAATCTAAGAGAACAATTGACTGCCAAACAATTGGCAAGTTACAGCAACAATTAGATAAAAAAACATAGTCATACAAATATTAGAAATATATATACGGACTTCAATGTCGTTATGTTTCGAAAAGAAAGTGCGATCCCCTTAGAAAATGTATTTAGCGACACATTACTATACCCTTTTCAATGGAGAGAGCTCCTGGTTGTCCAACTCGCCATGCGTAAATTTAGATCCATTGCAATAACCTAATGATTTCTATATGATTTTCTGATTGGACATTTGACCATAATACACACGATATTTCTATTATTTTATATTTTTAGAAAGTCACCCATCAAGAAACGTATTGTAATCTTTGGTACGGTAACCGTCACTATTGGTGTGGCTATAGGCATTGTTTTACTTTGCGTGTACTTTCTGGATGAGTGTTCTTTCAATCGATGTCACAGTACCTACAGCAATGATAAATACTTTTTTCAACATGCCGCTGTTGCCGCTGACAATGGACTTTGCTCGGAAGTGGGCAGGTAAGAGAAGCATTTGAATGCATTATCCAAGCACGGTTTAATGTATTCAATGATTGATAATATTTACAGACAAGAACAATTCGTTGTTATCATAGTTTTGTACTACTATATAAATATTCATAAATCAGTGTTGAAGATTTGTGGGTTTCTGATGTCCTTATTTGATCTGTCCACTTACACCATGAACGCTATTGCTTATTAAAATCTAACTTTTATCCACCATGTCTCGGTGTGATAAATAGATAGGGGTATTTAAATGGCAAATTTGATGACTTACGGGCACAGACGCACCATTGAGTTTGGTATATTATACTTAGCATAACTCTTGCATATAAAGTCGGTGGAGATGTCACACATTAAACTGGTTTGTTATGATTCGTACAACAATTACATTTATATATATAGTTGTATTACTGTTTTTGCAATATACGCCTTATTCTGAACATTGAAGCGACCTATTATCAATGGAATGCGCGTAAATATGAGAGAAAACATGCATAATGTGACATGTCTCCATGACGTACAGTCAATTAAGCTCGATGCGGATCTTGAGTTTTATGCATTTTTCAATTGTATATCTTACATTGATTTAAATATAGAGACACATTGGAAAGGGGTGGAAATGCTGTTGATGCCGCTATAGCAGCCATGTTATGTAACGGTATTATCAACACTCAGAGCCATGGCATTGGTGGTGGCCATTTTATGGTCATATATAAACGCGATAGAGATACGATCGAGGCAATAGACGCCAGAGAGGAAGCGCCTCTGGAATCAGCGGAAGATATGTACTCAGAGAATCCCGAAGATGCAACATTAGGTCTGTCCAGTATAATTTACACTAAACGTATTTACCATGTATTCCTTCCATATTTTCCAATGTGAAATGCTGTTACGATCCACAGGATATCCTAGAATATCTGTTGCATGTGATCGAAGTACAATGAAAATAGCCACATTTAATGAACACAGGGTATGGCAAACAGACTTGAGTCATTCACACTAAAACAAAGTTTAACATTTTTGCGCTGTCGTCTTTTGAGATTTTATGTACATGCTCTACATTTAAGATAGCAGACATTATTTATGCCCTAGTTAAACCTTAAATGGATCACAAATAAAAGCAATAAAACACAAGTAAACTTGGTTAGTCAAGTTAATTAATTAAGTTAATTAATAAAAGTTTAAAATACATTTGTCAAATGTCAATTTGACGCTACATTGATGTATATCCAGGAGGAAAGGCGATCGGAGTACCTGGTGAAGTCGACGGCTTCTGGATGGCACACATGAGACACGGCAGACTACCGTGGAAGGAACTATTTACAGCATCAATTAAATTGGCTGAAGAGGGATTTGAAATAGGACCGGCGCTTGGTGGCGCTATCAGCGACAAAGAAGAGGACATCAGAAGAGAACAGGGGCTCAGGTGACGTAACAGAATTGCTGTTCGGTAGTTTAAATAACATTCGTTCATTGGCCACTAATTCCTGTATTACCCAGTATTAAGTTACGGTTTGTTTAGGCAATTCAGTATCTGGTGTCGACCACTCCCAGACTGGCTAGGAAGGGAGCTGGTTTTTGTCTGACTCCGGTGACCGTGACGTTGACAATGGTGAATTATGTAAAACAAGTAATTCAAAATTGGCCTTAGTGTCCTTAAAATCTATATCCTGGCTACTACCACCTACTTCAGCTTAAAAAAATGTTCTACTTTCAAAGCTGAAATGTTTAACACATACATGTGTACAATGCCTTGATACTGAGATATGCATATGGCAAAACTCGTTACAAAGAAATAACACGACGTGCAGTGTTTACTACAAACAATAACATACCCTAGTTTAGAACGATTGTTTTGCCGAGTCATATTAAGTTTCAAATATTTAAAATTTAATATTTTTAAATGTTCACTTTATACATGTTGTTTTAGGGAAATTTTCTTGAACGAGGACGGTTCATTGAAAAAGACTGGTGATGTAATGCACAGATACAAACTGGCCCAAACATACAGGAAAATAGCAAGTGGCGGCGCTGAAGAATTTTATACTGGTCGTCTCGCAGACGATATTGTTGCCGATATCAGGGATAATGGTAAGAACCAGGCTGGCAATCAATGCCATTGCTCATATAAGGGATGGTAAAACTTGGTTAAAAAAAGATGCACTGGGTGAGAATGCTTAGACTGATAATGATACGAAGGAGGATGTTTTTGATAAAATACTTTGTTGACATACCTGTGAGCATTGGTAAGAAAGATATTACCTCTGAAACAAGTGAGAAAGTTAAAAAATGCAATTAGAGGTCAGATGACGGACATTATCGTCACGTTTGCTGATATAATTGAAAATGGTAAGGAAAATACCATTGTTCGTATCAGCGAGAATGGTGAGAAAGATATTGTTACTGGTATTGATGAGAATAGTAATGAGAATAGTAAGAAATGTATGATATATGTTGGAAAGGTATTATTGACATATGTCAGGATGGTTGTGTTGTTGTCAATGAGAAAGATCAGAAAGTTATCGTTACTGATGTGAGAATGATAAGAAAGCTGTCATTGTTGATATTGGTTGAAATAGTAAGAAAGGGAAGTTGGAAATTGTGTGAAAAAAACGACGAAAAGATGAATGAGGGGGGTGGGGGTGGCAGATGTATCCATCGTATATGTCTACTATAAATATTGTTCAGGGTATCTGTCAGTCGCATATCGCTATCACTGTGTTTTGTAGATGGTATAATTGTTTCTGAAGACCTGCGGAATTATCGAGCAAAGCTAAAAGAACCGCTGAAGATCATACTTGGCGAGTACGATGTGTATTCTCCACGACCACCCGCTAGTGGTGCAGTCCTTTCACTGATATTAAACATCTTGGAAGGTAACCTTTAACATTAAAATTGCTTGTTTTTGAATCATGATATTTGGAAGGCAAGTCGCTTCCATTTATATGAACCAGGTGAAGATGGTCCTGTCGGTCTGTATAAATAACAATATAACTTCTATTAACTCAATTTCACGGCAATTGAACAAATATAATGTTAAAACGCACGTAGACTGTATTTATAAAAATAATGCCTGGCATGTGATTACTGATTTGATTTATTTGCACACTAATGGTGCAGGATAATTTTCGTTATTACCCATAATAGTGTGATATCAATTGTGTCTTTAAGTAATGTTATACGTTCATATACTAGGTTATAACTTCAATGAAGACAGCACAGCTACAGAGTCAAGTAAGATTCTGACATCTCATCGCATTGTGGAAGCTTTTAAATTCGCATATGCCAAGAGAACAATGCTTGGAGATGAAGATTATATTGACATAGTAGATGTAAGTGGTTCATATCATGTTAATATATAATTCATAACGACCCGAGAGAACATTTATTGCCGTATTTGCATATGTATGTTTATAATAGAACTCTGTGTGTGAATAGCTAGTGCCTTCAAACTTTACATACATGCTCGACCTACTAGACCCAATTAAATTTTCTAGACTAAATTTCAATGTCACACTATGTTTGTATGTATTTTTGTACTGGAATTCTACTAGAAACGGAAATCATGTACCGGGTTTATCACGCATTTTACCCATATCAAAGGCCATGTTCACAGGGACACCAGATACACTGCCTCCGATCATGCCTCCATAAGACCTAGATAATGAATCTTAATGATATTGGTATTGTGGAGATAATGTGCATGTTCACATTTCTTCCGACTGCTGTTCAGTTTTCCACTGGACCTTATTTGATTAGTGGTATCGGTAATGTATGGATGTTACCCCCAAATCTAGCAAGGTCTTGTGATTTGCATGCGGAGTATGTGCACAGTTGTTGATGACACTGGCTATTATTCGAATGTAGTAACTGTATAAAGCACAAACAATGCATATAAAAACAAGTTGTGACCTTTGGCCTTTGACCCTTTATCACAATTAGTTGTGTCGGTGTCGTGTGGGTAACATTTGTATTCACTAATATTACCTTGCTTTTGTCGACTTATTTCTTCTTCAGCTAATAGCGAACATGACCTCCGACGAATATGCCGAAAATTTACGAATGTTGATCGACGATGACCGAACACACGAACCTGACTATTACGGCGCCGATTATTATACTTCCAATGATGGAGGCACGTCGCATTTAAGTGTGGTTGATGAGGACGGTAACGCCGTTGCAGTGACGTCAACAATCAATCTGTAGTATGTGTATAGTTTTATATATCAACGAAACAGTTGTCGACAGTTGCCGACAGTTTTCGACAGTACGTTGCCATTTAATTTTCCGTTTGTTTTTATTATTCCAGTTTTGGCTCAAAAGTACGAGGATTACGAACCGGCATTATTTTCAATAACGAGATGGATGACTTCTCATCACCCAATATTACGAACTCTTTTGGTGTACCGCCCTCACCGGCCAACTTTATTGAGCCTGGTAAGCGTCCATTATCGTCAATGTCACCGACGATTGTGATTGACAAACACGGCGATGTTCAACTGGTCGTAGGTGCTTCGGGTGGAACAAAAATTACTACAATCAGTTCATTGGTAAGTGTGACATTACACTAAAACGCATTTGTCACCGTATTTACACTATTGAATTTAAATTGTGGTTGTGCGTTTCTACTTTGGGTAATTCTTAGTATCATTTTTATTTTAGATAAAATCATAATCCTGAAACACACTGTTTATTATGAATATGAAATGTGGGCAATCGCGCAAGTGCGCGCGAAAAAGATTATACAACTATGAATCTTGTTTGGATTTGTTGTTTAAAGCGCGGCAGTCGTCGCGCTGCGCATGTGCGAGATATATGGGTCTCATATAAACAAAAATGGCGACTTTGACTGTTGCGCAGATCAACGAGTACGAACTGATACGTTTCCAAGCTTTAATTAGGTAATTTTCATGTGATTGGAAGGTATCGAAAGAGTCACCGGCATTAATCAGTGCAAATCGCGCCCAAGGTCAAACCTCATACTTGTGATTTCCATTCCAAGAGCGCATTGGATTGTGAGAAAATCAATGTTTATCAACACAAATGTCGAACATGCGCAGCGCGACGACTACCGCGCTTTAATAGCACCAAGTTAATTACATTGATTGTAAATTAGATACATGATTTTACCTTCACCGTGACCTAGGTTTAATCTATTTTACTGCGCAGGTATCAGCACGCACATTGTGGTTTGGTGAGGACATTGAGACAGCGATCACTGGTCCAAGATTCCATCATCAGCTGATACCAAACAAAGTCGATTATGAGGAGGGTATTGAAGAGGTGATTATTTCGGTTGTTGAATTTAATTTGGTCACGTGTTTTCAAATTCCATACCTTTCACAAACAGTACTGCGCAAGATATTTAGATATACTTTCTCTATTGTAGACAACACTGGATGGATGGATATCCAAAGGACATGACACAGATCTGCGGTCTTCTCTCGCTGTATGTTCCGCTATACGGCGAGTTACAGGAGGACTTTCAGCATTTTCTGATGAAAGAAAAGCAGGGGGATATCCAGCCGGATATTGAGTTGCCCGATGTTACCTAAGAGAACTGAATCGCGTATGATTTCTGTTAATTTGCTGACTTTCTTTTTAATTACAAATGATATGCGATATCGCAATTATCAACAAGTCGGCTTTTAAGGAAAAAATAGAATAGTATGTCGCCTTGTAGGTGAATCAGTCACACACAAATGTTGTGGCCCTGATTTCCTTCAAGTTCGTTATAAAATGTGAATTTCATTTTGCCAAATTACACATCCTAATACTGTAGTAAGAAAATGTTTCAGGATCATTACATGAATGTACGAATTCTATTGCGTCGATGACGTGCCAGTGAATTAGCACTTTCCCGGAAGTCGAAGATACGGCGTTTCGCATGCGCGCGCATGTCGTTTTGGGGTATAACGTAAACTTGCACTCGTGATATTCTGTTTCTGGGTGTACCAATCGAAGTAACAAAAATTAAATTACCTTCCATCGTATATCAGCAAAATGACTTATTTGTATTTTCCGCCATGACAAAGCAGGAGTATTTTTGCACCCCAGTTTTTCTACTTCCGGGAAAGTGGTCTATACAACTAGTTGCGTCACAAGAAATGTCTATGCGTTAATTGCGAACTTAGAGGGCACACTGGATCTCTGGTTGACCGTCATTACAAAAAAATATGTTAAGATTTAATTAAAATATTACAATTGACTATTCTACTAAATACATTAAACCTCTGTGACGTCATAATAGCGTGACGTTACTGTAGCAAATATGTGATTACATCATATTTTTTCTTGATATACATTAAAACAGAACACTATAGTCATTCGCTATCAAAATCAATAAAATTGTCATAAGAAAGATTAAATCTATTTTTTTCATCAATAACACTTTCCATACATAATTATTGAACTGAAAAGCTATTAAAATAAGTAAATTCTTCACAATAAATGAATGTACAATACTTGTATGACAAAACATGATTTAAAAGTTACATCTAATACGAGGTTTATCCAACCTTGGCATCCTGTGCATTTATGAATACCCACTGGGTGATAGAGGGCGCTTCAAATCACCTACCTCAACACACCAAGCAGTTTATGGGGAATATTCTATTCATAATTATATGTATAAACACGATTTGAAAATGCGCATATCACTGAAATGCAGTAGTACTGGAGAGAATTTAAAGTTGTTAGTTGGCTTCCATTAAAACACAACTATTACATTGCGGTTTTATTTTTTGCTGTAACCGAGACGTAACTAAGACATCATATGACAAGTGTAAGGTGACCAAACTAGTTTTCACACAAAAAACGGAATCTGAAATATCAATGAAATATCACTAAAAAAAACTTTAAACATTCCATGGTGCCACAAATGTCCGTTTTTGCAATTTGCAGTTTTTCAAAATAGTTTTTACATACTGGGGGAAAAAAAAAGAGTGGTGGCTTGCATTCAAATTATGCAACACTTTTTAAACATGGTTTGTTTTATAGAATGTTCGCCCATAATCAATATGTTTAATGCCCGCAAATGACATTAGAATCCGGCCGGAAGTCCGCCTTTTCTGTCATCTGAACATGCGTGCAGTTGGTCGTCGACGAGGTGTATTGCTTGGACAACAGAATCTCTTCTATCGTACGATGATGTTACGTGGTTTTTCTCGCGAAGACCGGCAAGTATTACCTGTGAGAAAATTTGGTAATACAGGTATTACCTTGATGAAGTGCCCCCATATCGAGACGGCTATGCAAACACAGGCATCGTTAATGTAATTCATACTAGTATCCTCGGGGGCGGACATCCGGGCATTTTCACCGCCTCGCAACCGGCGGCGGTGAAAAGAAAGGCCCAAAACTCGCAGAAAACGGTACTTTGGGATGATTGTTGAGACTCCTCTGAACAGTGTAACAAGATTAGCCCTACGTGTGTAACATATATAAATTTGGTTGTTCGGGATTACTTCAAAGTTGAGTTTGTGTTGTTTTCTCGAATTTTCACCGGCTCGACCGGCGTTCCACAGCAGCGCGCACAAAGCCCATAGAAATACGTGGTACAGTGGTGCGCGTCTTAGCAACGTAGAACGTCCGTGACGTAGCTCCGCCCCCGAGGATACAATCCACCATCCCAATAAATCGCGCCCTCTAACGACGAACCGCTTTTGTGACGTATGCAATATTATTTGATCTGTGATACGTTATTTTTTTTCTACACAACCAAACAGTTGTATCACTTGCATCGATCTACGTCATTTCGAAGTCTTATAAACGTTTCGTCGCTAGAGGGCGCGATTTATTGGAAAGTTGTATTATAGATGGGGGACAAGGGTTATTTTCGTTCAACGTAATTGCAATATTTTTGTGTTCGTACAACGTAAATTGAAAAAAATAAATTCCGTAATTCTGTAATCACATGCTAGACATACAACGTAATCAATCAAATATTTTTTTGTACACTGTAAAAATGTGTCATTTTTCTCGGTACGTACAAGAATTTACATCCAAATAAAAAAAGTCGTAAAGAATAATCCAGAGAAATTACATTTTCGAAACTGTAACTAGATGACACAATTCACTGCAAAATTCAATTTTCACTGTAAACACGTCTTTTTTTCCTTGTAAATTGTGAAAAGCCATTTTTTATTTCCCGTAAAACTGTACCAGCTACCCCCTTCCCCCCATTATACTATACACATATCAGATATATGTTGTAGCTGTATGACGAAATGAACATCATCCCAAATCGTTACATATATTTATAATCCCTGAAAGTCAATCAAGCACACTTACGTCAGAAAACTCTTCTTCATGATCTAATTCATTGGGACTCAATTGATGATGGATTCGTGGTTGGAGTATTGCATCACCCAAGTTTAGCCCAAACCAAAACAAATTCATTGTCGACTGTAAAGAAACATACATTAATTGCAGTCGTCACGCAACGCCATAATCGCCATGCAGTGTCAGTCTTCACGTAGCGGCACAGTAAGATAAGATAGACACTCTTTGAATACGTTGAGTCACAAGGAGCCCAAATACATTGGTAATGGTAGTTGGATGGACGTATTGGACATATAATGTGTATAAATAATGAAGTAAGAAATGTAACTTTTTTTCCCAAAAATAGAAAGGATAAACAGTCCAAAAAATGTTTAGTCATAAATCCAACTACATCATTGATTCCTCCCGTTGAACTATGCATTGATGCCATTGCAACGATGATAAGATGGTGTTCAACCGTAGAAGGTGGCATTGTCAACAATACAAATGCACTTGCACCAATAAAAAATGTCATAAATGCTACGTGACCGCATTTCGACCAATCAGTGCAAAGATATATTATATCATTTTCTATGCCAGTTGCATGGTAAAATACGCAACAATGAATGACACAGAAATAATATGATCTTGCTTGGTAAGTGTTTTTCATTGTTTACTACGTGACCGAATTCAGACCAATCATGCCATATACTACCCTTGTTGACGCTGTACATAAGACGAATAACTACTCACCAATGACACAGCTGTAGTTATCAGTGTACCGCCCGAACCACCAATAGAAAGCGACACGTTGCCTTGCCCATTGACAACTATAGCTGGGTCCATAGATGATAGGGGTCGTTTACCAGGTTCGATAAAGTTTACCGGTGATGGCGGCACTTCAAAAAAGTTAGTCGTATTTGGTGACGAGAAATCGTCCATCTCATTGTTAAAAATGATACCCGTTCTTGATCCAACAACCTTTGAGCCGAAGCTGTAAATGGTGTACAACGACGTCGATAAATATAATGCAGACAGTGAAAGGTTGTTCAGTTTATTGACGTTTGTTATTTCTGATACAGTGAATATGTGGCAGTCAATGATTTTAAAGGTCAATTTTAACCTTTTCACCACCAGACTTTCTCGCCCCAAATTTTCTTCACTTGAACCAACAGACAAAATTATAGTCAATTTTCAGTTTTTACTCAAAACATTTGCCTATCTTTTTTGTCTCATTCCTCTGAAAGAAAGGACAGACTATAAAAGGGAATATTTTGTAAATTTGTGATGAAAAGAGGGATCTGGTGGTGAAAAATGTATAGAGTGTTCATGGTTATATATGTAATGGTGTGCCATGTATTGTTATAATTATTACGTATTGATTTTACAAGTTAAATGTAATGAATTGTATTGTACTTGTCACTAATACTCTATCACATGGTTACACGTATTGTGTACGTGTATTTATGGTGATTGTACTGAAATAAATAGTTACACTTACTATGTATTGATTGTACTGGTTATATGTACTGAATTAAATAGTTACACTTACTATGTATTGATTGTACTGGTAACTGATACTGAATTAAATAGTTACACTTACTATGTATTGATTGTACTGGTAACTGATACTGAAATAAATAGTTACACTTACTATGTATTGATTGTACTGGTTATATGTACTGAATTAAATAGTTACACTTACTATGTATTGATTGTACTGGTAACTGATACTGAATTACCGCGTTGGTCAACTACAGACAGATGGGCAGTTCCATGATCTTCGACCAATGAAAAAGATGAATAATAATAATCAATGTCGTGGGTGGTGTTGTCATGAATCCGTTCACGTATTTCGGCTGCATACTCCTTTGACATCATTAAGTCGACAAGCTTAAACAAGATATCAAAATAAGAAACATTTTAATCACTAGAAATGGACAGCCGTCCAACGTCACCTTCTATCCACCTTAAAGCGGGGGAGTCGTCACATGCGCATATGTCATATGGCCATAGCGCGTCATTGTTTACAAACAAGCGTCTACCCATGAGCCTTTGTGTTTTTAGCGTGTGTTGTCATCATCGCTTGGGACTCAATTCCCGCGTGCGCAGGCGACGACTCTCCCGCTTCAAGTTTGTAGTGGCCAATGATGTTCAGCTTATTGTGAGGGTATAAATGCGCACGTATATTTCCGCACTTTTTTCTATTGTTCACTTGTTAAAGTTATGACAGAAATAGGACGTATACAGCAAAATCAACTTGTGAACATTCATGAAATTATGAATATTCATGTCTACAATTTGGATGTGATTAGCTTCAAAGACCGGTTACTGACAATTGTTGGTAAGAAAATTCGCAACACACCGGGATAAATGGTTAGGGTTATATCACGCAGAGTGGAGAATATATTAATTGGTTAATTTGCATATTACTAAACAAAAGTAGAAATACCAGTTCCCCTGTTTATCAGATTATTCACAGTCGCTGTTTTTCGTAAAGCATAAGTGCCAAACTTTCCTTTATAATTTACACCCGGTATGTATTGATTGTGTGATTATTTTACAATACGCCAACAGACTACTAGTAGTCTATGATGTGTGAGAGAAGTATATAACAGTATTTGAATTACATCACTGACGGTGTCTTCGTAGTCTTCGTCACCGAGTCCTGTTCTATGTGCAAATGCGTGTTTGAATGCTTCCGTGATGCGATGATACGTCGTCACGTTATCCATTGCCATGGTCTTATTATCAAAATGATAACCTATGAAATATTAACGTACGAAGATAGACAATTTCAGTATATTTGCAATGGTATATTATATCAAATAAAGATTGTTCATAAGGTAAATCACACTAATCATGTTAAAATTGTCCAAATTGTATTATGAGTCGAAGTTAATATAAGGGTATCAGCGTAAAGGAAAATCGGAATCGCGCAAAAAATACAGGAATGTACGCCATTTTGTCAGTTTTTATGTTTGGTCCCACTAGTGAGGATTCCCCATATTTTAATTTGTTGTGTGGTAAAACGTCAACGTTTGGCCCATTTTTTTTAAACAAAACAGAATTTTTAATATGAAGTCCAATTTTCTGAAATATAAAACATGATATCAATCATACAAAACCTCTTTAAGCTAATTAATTTAAATTGTAAAATTATATTACAATGTATGATGCACCAGATTTAAAACAGAGTATTTGTTTATTAACTGGCAGAACCTATCACAGCACATTTTTGCTGAAAATTATTATGAGTTTATCTGAATTCTTTAAATCTAAACAAACTAACCCTCCAATATGTTGAGAATGAAAGACAGAACAGCGCCACTAGCAGGCGGAGAAGGAGTGTACATTATCGAGTCGCCCATTCGTAATTCAAGTGGAGCTTTTTTCTTCGCTTCATAGTTCAATAAATCTTGAGATGTAATGATTCCTCCTGTAGAATAATAAATAATGTATATAGTGAAGAATCATAAATCGTATATCAAGGATTCAATAAATAAGGGTTCGCAAATTGCGCAAAATGCTGAGATGATGACCCTAATTTGAGTCACGTGAATTGCGAGATTTCCAGGAACGGAAAATTGTTTAGTGGTCATCTAAAGCTGTTTGATAGTGTCCTTCACATAAAATAGTCGATTTCTGGCATTCAAGTCTGTACTACGAGCGTTCACAAATGTCTGTTATAACATTGTACAGAAATACATTCGATTAACGCGCATCATGATGGCGGAACTAACGCGGAATAAGATCGTCATCGCAAAACATCAAGTGATCCTTTTTTTTGTTGTTGCTAAAATTAACATATTTTGTAGACCCTTATCTTATTAAATATTGTCTGTGCAACTAGTAGATTTATTGAGGGTACTAAACACCTTGTATGTGTATGAAAATATATGCACGCGCGGTATAACACTGATCATTTTAAAAGTGGGTTCAGTGTATGTACGACTTAGTTGATTATGTCACATCACCTGCCCAGGTCAAACATAATGTCCGAGACAAGTCGGAAACTTCGGAAGTATTCGACATTTCAACTTGTCACGAACCTTGCCCCGCTACTATTCCAACCGAGTCCTATATCTATGTCTTCATCAACAAGTTGGGCGTTCTAGCCTGAATATGATTTGAAATAGATTAATTTGAATCTTTCAAACTATGCCTACCTCTTTCCTGAATATCTGCTACAACGGCTTCCGCAGTTACCCCACTGTAAAACTCCATTGCACCACGATCGGCGATTAGTTGCAACGTTGCTGCCAACTTCTTCATGACGCAAATGTCCCCCTCTTTCAGTATTTCCCCATCGTCCCCCACGAAATATTCACTGAATGAGTATAAATACGTGTTATTGACCAATCAATCGAGCCCCTTCCAATATAAAAGAGACGATGTGAATAACGTTGAATATTACAAAATAAATGATTGCTGTGATTTGTCGTAAACTAAGAACTATGTTTTTACAACAATATTTATAATGTGCAAAACAATAAAAATACCAGTGCGCTTGCGATTTAAATCACTTCTACGTATGGGCGCGTATCTGGCGCATGCGTATTGGTGTTTATTATTTAATGTATTAAAAGGTTTTATTTTACGATAACACATATCGTACTATATTTCTTATAAAGATGTAATATCAAACCCGATGTCAGAATTATTTTAGAACATACCTTTGAAGTGTGGGCTCCGTGATCGAAACAACGACTTAATGATACCGGGAGGGTTCACAATTGAAATTTATAATATTTTATAGATTTAAAAACAAACCACTAGAAATCATACCCAGTGTCGATATTTCAATTTCTCAGCCTTTTTATTTTTGCATTTTTTATAGATATATTTACTTGGAACAAAGAAAGAAGAAAAGAAACAAACAAACACACATACAAATATACAAACACAAAAACAAACCACGTGTATTCAGAATAATACAATGTTAAGCTGTTCGATTGCTGGTATCCTTGGCATCTTACTTTTAAAGGAAATAGCACCGGTTTCCGATTAATAAGCTAGGGTTCACTGATGGCGACAATTTGCACTGAATTTTAGCAAAATACTCTACCTCAAACCTTCGTCCGCTAAAATAGTATCATTATATTGCCGTATTGCTTTTGCTAGAGGTGCTCCTACTACGAACCCATTCGCGGCCAGTTCGATAGTTGGCTCAAACAGTTTGTCCCATGGTATCAGTCCCCATCTCTGATGAGCCGTCCACATACCATGCAGTTCGCCGGGCACAGCAATAGCTAAACCACCTATACACACACAAAAATAAACTTGTTGTCATCATGTTTTCCCACATTTCTATACATAAATAAAGCACGTGTTTTATAATATTGTTTTGCCAATCTCAACAAAACTTGGAATACTACATTATCACACATTTCGTGCATAAATGAAATAAACATGAACAAAATAATTCCATTGTGAAAAAATAATTCCATTGTGAAAAAATAATTCCGTTTTGAATAAATAACGTAGCGTATTCATTCAATATCGAGCGAATATTCAGCTGTGTCCTACAAGAACAAAATGACGAATTATAATCCAAAGTATTTACAATATGCAGTATTAAAAAGTACATGTTCTCATCTGCATTGTATTTGTATGTACGAGTGAGACCTATAATATTCACCTGTTGTTGATGCATCTTCATCTGGGTGATTGGAAAACATGTCGTATGTGGAATTTAGTGGGGCTGTCTCTCTTGCATCGATTACTTCAGTGACACCCCATCGTTTCATGTGTATAACCATAAAGTTTCCTCCGCCTATACCGGTGCTATGACAATTGTGGAGACCCACACACAATAACGCCGCAATAGCCGCGTCTACTGCGGAGCCATTTTGTTTTAACATTTCACTGTAAAAACAAACACGTTTGTGAAAAGGAGGTTATCGTCACAATCAATGTGTCCAATGTGACGTGTACAACGCGCCTAAAATCCTAAAATACATTGTTTACTTGACATTTTACATCGCGTTGCACATCGAACCCGACCTTTCAAATAATCAACGTGTTTGTCTCCGTGGCAACACGTAGAAACAAAACGTAAAATAAAAGGAACGCACACCAGGGACGTACTAGCTGTTTCAACAAACATTTTAACTTACTATTGATCACGAGATGATAACCATAGAGACTGTGTATACGAGGATTTGCAACATAATGTTGTTGATAAATATCATTCTCACCAAAAATGTGCTGATGGTGACTGCCTGGTATTAAAAATATTTTTAACACAGAGATTTCAAATGAATATTTTTCAATCCCTGTTTGATATGCAGCACAACAATTCTAGGAAATATCATACAACTTACTTTCCAATAAATGAACAGTTAGCTGCATCAGTGGCAATGGCTGCGTTTTCGTAGATCTCATAATTTGTTAATTCATCAATCACTTCAGGCTCTTCTTCGGGTCTGAACGCTATACCGATGAATATTCCAGCAATGACTGCCCCGACAAATATCCCGAGCATGAGCAGACAGAAAGGACGGTCAGTCCATCTTCTATTATATATAAAAAACACATTTTCGCAGTTAGCAGTGAACGATATATCATATTTTGCTCATGTGCATATTCTCCTGTCTGTCATTTTCCACTATTGTGTATGCGTATGGAAGATTGGATAAATAAATACCGGTGGACGCTGTCCAATCTTAACAACCATCCATATGTTTCGTATTTATATATTAATAATGTACTTTGACAAGAAAGAAAGAAATACGTCATTGTTGGAGCAAAAACATTTCTTCTTTGCATGAATTATAAATGAAACTGTGAAACATTGCATAGAAATTACCAGATTTCAAACTATTCAATAACCGATAATCAGTTTACACCTCTACTTCCTAGATTTTGGGTATGTTCCATGCACGATTCTAGTGTTCTCTTTTCGAACTGCGCATAATTAGATAACGTTCCGAAGAGTCTCTACCTTTTCTGGGAATGTTATAAATTTTGTGATCGCACTAATGAAAACACCTGTGGATAACTGTTTTCCGGACATTAATAAATTGTTTTTAAAATTGCATTGGCATTTTTGTCAGCTCTTAATTGTAAAATCACTCAAAAAAAACAACAACACCAGGCTGCCACCACTATTAAAACGTGATTGTTTGAGTTCAGATATATACCTCACGTCTTTGAAATGCACTAGTCAAACTTGGTAGGGTGATAAGTTTCGCGATATGTTAGGAATACATATAGATATAAATACACACATTGGACATAAAGAGGTATTTTAAACATACTGAAAATAGGTTTTACAACATTCATTTAAAGATTTGGATTTCAGCTCTAGCTGAACACAGCTGTTGAGTTTGTTAATTCTCTGTGGTTCTTCAGTTCTAAAAAGGAATATAGTCCCCTACCCTCTACGCGTCTGAGTTTATTGTTGTTGTCATTGACAACAACACAACTGAAAAGCATATCCGCAATATTATGCCCCTATAATTAAAATTAAGCAAAACTAGATAAAAACGAGAAATTATATGTCTAGATGTTCAGCAAAAGAATCCCCACTGTAGAAACTATAGCTTCCTAAAATTAGTGTCACGTCCCCAGCATGTACAAGTATCGGCATGTGTATCGATGTTCTGACAAGTGGGTGATACGTAAATGATAATATGATACATTCTTCGTTACTACGAGAATCTTAGCACTGATATAATCCGTTGTTGATAATCCGATCAAGAACATGTCGACAAGAGAAGTACAAATAAAACAAAACACACACCTAAATGTAGACTGGCGCAAAAAAATTGTTAGCGCGAAATCCCCTGTAACTGCGAAAACACCCCGACTGGTTTATTCTACATGGTCCTCTATCGACACTACAGGAACCCGTCGAATTTTCAACGGGTAATTATGTTAATGAGTGTTCTAATTGACAATCATCTATGCCAATCACAACGTCTCTTCAACTGACCTCTGACCGAGAAGACGTCGGCTGATTTTTTTTTAATTCTACGACTAGTACGAGGTACTTTCAACGTGCCGCCATGTTGGGTCTGCAGTGTGACCTTTACCATGTTGACCTCACTATGCACGTATTTCCGCGCCCACCTCATTACAATATGCGCATTCATGAATATTTAATAGCAATGAATTTCCTACAGAATAAACCAGTCGGAGTGATTTCGTGCTCTAACACCTCCATTCCGCGAATTTTGTTATTTTATTTAAACTACAAAAAACAAATTAATCGCCCCGACTGCGCAAGTCTAACCTAAATGCATAGCCTGTTGAAAATAAACTATTGTCAAATAATTAAACATGTTGATTTATACTTAGATTAAGTCAAGTTTATTTTAGTGTGTCGTTAGTATAATGAAATAGCAAATACTTGTCCCCCTTCTGAAAGTAACACTATACAATGTCTTCCGATAACGTGCTTTAAATATTTTCTACGAATCGTGCCCTCTAGTGACATAGGGATTTTAAGAAGTGTATGCATGACACATAGGACGTTCAACTCATCATTATTGTTTTGATCTGTTGTCGTCCATCAATGAGATGTATATTTTCAAGAGATGTTACTATATGCTAGATGAAGACCGACTACAATTTGACTTTGACGTTATGTTGACGTTACAGAGCGTTTCGCTACAAGAGGGCGCAACTTATAAGAATAGCCTACTATACTGGCCACGCCAAATGGTATGATTAGTCGGGCTGCAGGCAGAGGCGGCGGCAGCTTTTTTTTTAACTGTGGGGGCAAAGATTTTATGTGAATGTCAACAAATCGAGCGACCTTTCTTTTGCGGTCCGTCCGGGGGTATCCTGCCCCGGGAAAATTAGAAATCTACACCCTCTGAGACGCTGTTTCCTACATTTTGGGGAGTAAATTTTGATGGTACACTTAGGTATATTTCGCTTACGTTTTAGTGACAAATATAGATGAGTGTTTATTTTTAGTTAGTCACTTTATTTTATCGACCGCCAACTGCCCCCACGGTGCCGCCGCCACTGACAGGTATCATATACATTTTTGGCACATCGATGAATTTGAATGTAATATAACAGTATTCATTCAAATTTTAGCACACCATATAATGAAAAAAATGGTGGTGTTGTGGAACTATTCCGAGTTCATAAGACGCAGGTCAGTGGTGATATAAACACCACCGTTGGTTACACAATGGGAATCTGAAGGTGAGGCTCCATTAGAACTGAGAGGCAAGACAGTTTGGATCGTCGACCATGCATACCAGGAATCTACGTCATCTATTCTTGTGTGCCTTGTAGAAACACACGATAAATGGAAGGAAAAACAGAACCCTGTGAATAGCGATAACTCACCCAGAATTCTGTAAATGTTCAACATTATCTATCACAGACTGTTCGTCGTCGTCCCGGGAGGGCAGCAGTTTATATTCCATTTCTAATCTAAATGTTGTAACTCAAGGAAACAATCGAATGTCTGACGGTTGTTATATTCTCATGCCGAATATTCCATATGGACAATACATTGTCCATATCAATCTCTATTTATACAGCCTCACCAGCGACAATGCAGTATGCAAATTAAACCACACATATTATTAACCCTTATTTTATTCTGCTATTTTGATTTAAATGTAGAAGGATTAACCACGGACATGCTCTATTTTTTATATATCTAAATTCTGTATAAATTGTGATTAACAATTATATTTTATAAAAAAACAATCATGTACAAAAATGTATAATAATAATAATAATAATAATAATAATAATAATAATAATAATAATAATAATAATAATAATAATAATAATAATAATAACTTGAAATTATTATTGTTATAATCTCTGACTGCTTCTGGGCATACATAATATATGTATTTAATACTAATATATTGAGTATTGTAATATGTTTAAGAACAACTATTTTCAACTATCGCCATTGATCTTATAAAGAAAGATCAACAAATCCAAGATGGTTAGTAATTTGTTGAAAAGACAAAAAATGGGTCGACAGAATAACTCGTTTCCAATCACACACTGACAGAGTCTATGACGACATCATAGGCTGTGTAATAATTTAATTCCAATGAGCATTGACTGGTTACTTAGGAATCTCTGACGTTAGACAAAAACTATATTGCTTTATAACCCGTGGTAAATGACGGCTAAACGATTCTCAAACCCTTTTTTTACAACTTAATATAATCGATATGCTATTTTGGTCTATTTTCGAATATCCAATGGTGTTATTTGGTAATTTGGTATTGTGATCAAACAATGAAAAGTTTTCTTTTCAAGTTTTCATTGTTATTTTTACACTCTGTATTTCAAAATTCATGGAACTTTTGCATTTTGATTATACATAGTACCGATTGCCGACCCAATACACATTTTCTGAAAACTTTGATTTTGGTGTGTTGTTCCTAAGAGCGATAGTCGTCACGCCTTGTGTTTTTTTCTATATTGTCCAATAGCGACGTATACAACGTGTCTCGGTAAACTATTTCGTTTACACAAAATTCGAATACGTACTGTGTGACACTCGTTACATGCTTCAAGCGCACATTTTTATAGAAGGAAATTCTATGATGATTTTAGTCACATCTAACGTGAACTAGTCATTGTTACAATTTGACTCAGAAAAATTAAAAAATATCCTTACTATTATGTTTTCTAATTAGAGTGCAGAAGCGAAATTAGAATGGCAGAAAATTCTCCCACTTCTTAGCAACCATTAAAACAGTTCAATGGCAACGTGCGCGTTGTAGCGTGAATCGTGACAGGTTGGATAATTAAAGTCATTCCAATAAAGCCTTACCATATCACGACTGATGACTGGCCCAAATATGCTCATATGTTACTGGGTTCAAAATATGTCTGGAACTTTGCAAAAGTGAGGTTTATAATCACTGTTGCTAAGTTGGATTTCATGATTAATTTATCACGAGTAGGATTATGATATGCCAAATATATTTTGTAATCGATGTGGTTATTGAGATATAAAGGGCACTCGAGTACGAAATGGAATTCGTTGTCGATTGCATTTAACGAGCAAAACGCACATGTCTGTGGTTACCAACAGGCATTTTTTTTACTCTAACATACTTTTGAAATTACGATACGTACGTAGTACGTCACTAGCGCACACTTCACTGTACCGCTATTGTTTATATCAATCAGTTACCCGCTGTCTGAATCCGCCACGAATAACTTAACATTTCTTATATCCTTAGCAAGTCGCGCAACGCCGAATCCATACTAAATAGAATATTTTAAATTTCTGTTGCCCATGGTATATTCATATTTGTGTCCGAATTTTACATCAATTTATACGCTTCTTTTGCAATTCTCGATTCCGGCAGTTCAGATAAGTATAACCAAAAATTTATACATTCGGCTGTTTACTTTACATCAATTGGTGTTCTACTCCAACACTCCCCCAGTGCTGATTCATGACATGTTTGCACTACCTAAATTCCCAACCCCTAGAACGTGTTTACAATACTTTAATGTACCCGCTCTGTTTTCATG